ATCTAAATATGTAAAAAACTTTAAAAAATATTATTCAACTATAAAAAATAATTATTTCTATTATAATTTATATGATATATTTTTTACTCGAGTGGTTTGACAAACAAAAATGAATTCACATAAACTTTATAATATATATAATGAAAAATATAAAAAATAAAATCAATAGAAAAAATTTAAATATTATGAACTAAGAAAATAAATATTATCAACTAAAAAAATTAATATTATTCATATTATAAAACCTAATTAAAAAAATTGTTTAAAAAAAATAATACTTTTATACAAAGCATAAAACTATGAAACCAAAGATGGGTGTTTGCTTTCTATGGTTTAGTCCCACATTGCTTGGAAAGCTTTGCTTTGCATAGTTTATATACCATTTTACTTTCTCTCTTCCAAAGAGCTCATTTGGAGAAATGACAACATGAGGTTGTTGCACTTAAATTTAATCATGCAATTAATATAAATTTAATAGTTTTATATTAATAGATTAAGATTAATATTTATTTATTATTAAATAATTTATATAATTATTTATATTAAAAAAAATTGAACCGGCCATTTTTAAGAAATCGGTTTGCCGGTTGAACCGGCGGTTCTTTCCCAAACTGGACGGTTTGATGCTAGGCCGGTTCTCAAGTTGAACCGAACCGATTTTCAGACCGGTTCACGATCGGACTGGTCGGTCTGGTTCGATTTTTAAAGCATTGATTATACCTATATACATTGTATTATTTTATTGTAGTTCTTGATCACCTTAGTCATCTTAAAAAGTGTTGGATTATTTGAAAGAAAGTACTTCTAAGTGTTTACTACTTAAAAGTTAAATGTAAGTTTATGATTCATCTTGAACAAGTGTTATGAGGGTTTCTTCCTTTTTTTTTTTGATAAAATCCTCATAGGGGCTTACGCGTTAAATAAAATGACAATGACAAGTTCTTAAGGAACCGAAAGCTCACTAAAAATATAACATTTGAAATAAAACGTAAGAGCCGATGGTTTTATATATTACAATAAAAAAATAAAAGAAAATTAGTGAAAAATAAAACACAAGAGGAACAAGCCAGGTGAAGGAAGCATCATGAATGAGCACAACCACTTAGATTGAACCCACACGAATGCCACAATAACCTACATAAATAATATATAAAAGAAACCTGCAATAGGATACTAAAATCCAATAACCCAGCAGGTAACAAACAGAGCCAACAAAGAGTCATCACAAAAGCCAACGACTCACAGGCCAACCAACAAACACAAAGAAGACAAACAACAGCCCACCAAAACAAACCCAGCTAACCAAGAAGGGAAAAAACCTCAACCTCAAGAGCTAGCAACCAACACAGGCCCAAAACATCCAAAATAACCCAAGAACAACATAAGGTACAATGATAGAACCAGTCAACAACCCAAACCAAAAAGGACCCAACAACATAAAAAGGGAGACAAGATCCAAAAGAATATGATTTTTTTTTTTTTTGGATTTTTGTCATTTACGTTTAACAAAATTTTTTGAAATAATCTTCCTCAACAATTTAAATAAAATTTAAGTCATAAATTTTCGAAGAATCCACTCCTTCAACATCAATTTCCTCCTCAACATTCTAATTAGCTGATGAATCACAATCAGCTAACCAGTCACCTTGAACCATCTCATTTTCCTTTGATTTGAAAACTAATTAAGCTAACAAAGCATCATTAGAGACAAGAGAGATGTGAACATCAATGAGAGGCATTTTAGGATGCACATCCATAGGATCTTCACCGTCTAAAATAGCAACTTTATTAAGTGCTGGAGTATCCGAACCATATGTACTTTCAACATGCATGGTAGAAACCAAAACACCCATAGGGCTAACAACTAAATAGACCACAGGTTCCAAGGGAACATAATTAACATCATAACCCTCAACAACATCAACACTGTCAATAATATTAACAAGAAGTGTCGCAATGGGACTAGCTATGAGGTTA